AAAAAAAAAAAAAAAAAAAGAAAGAGAAGGGAAAGAAAAAAAGAAAACAAGAAAGAAGAGACATCTGGGTGGGATGCGTGTGCAGAGGAAAGGCGCAGTGAGAAGGTGGCCTCTGCAAGTCAAGGAAAGAAGCCTCCGGAGAAAATGACCTGCGACACTTTGCTGTCAGACGTGCAGCCTCCAGAACTATGAGACAATAATTTCTCCTGTTTAAGCAACCCAGTTTATGGTATTTTCTTATGGCAGAAACTAATATAGCAACGAAACTAGCAAGCTAACATAGATACTGCTACTTAAATTTAGCTCTTATGTTTTCTTAGAAGGAATTTTCTTAAAACAATGAGATACCATTTCTTGCATATCAAATTGGCAGAGATTTTTAATTAAAAGATAAACTTAGTGCTACTAAGGATATGGAGAAATGGACTCTCTCAATCAACAGGGGTTGGAATTTAAATTAGTGCAACTTTCTAGAGATTTGGCAATACCTATAGAAAGTCTTTAAAATCTACTTACCAACATATGGTAATAGCAATATATTGGAAATAACCTATGGCAGATTGTATTTTCTAAAGATGGAAGCATTGATATATCCCATTTCCCATGCTCTTCTTATAGTGTGATGTTAGCATCCTCCTTTGAGAGGTAGGGTCAATTCCCTCACTTGAACCTGGGCAAACCTTTGTAGTTGTCCTAACCAATAGAATACAGTGGAAGCAAAGGTATATGGCTGCCAAGGCTAGGTTATAAAAGGCATCACTCTGACCTCGGAAGCTAAGCAGGGTTGGGCCTGGTTAGTACTTGGATGGGAGACAGCAGGGGAATACCAGGCACTATAGGCTTTACCAGAAAAAAAAAAAAGGCATCTCAGCTTCCTGGACAGCTTCCAGAGGACACTCAAGCAGCTCTGTGGAGAGATCCACATGGAGAGGAACTGAGGCCCCCCCCCTCCACCTACATCCAGCACCAGCTTTCCAGTTGTATGAGTGAGGAACTCTAGACATAGATTTTCTTGAGCCGGGTATGGCGGCTCACACCTGTAATCCTAGCACTTTGAGATGCTGAGGCAGGGGATTTCTTGAGCACAGGAGTTTGAGACCAGCCTGATCAACACAGTGAGACCCTCATTGCTACAAAAAATTTAAAAATTAGCCAGGCCTTGTGGCACACACCTGTGGTCCCAGCAACTCAGGAGGCTGAGGTGGGAGGATAGCTTGAGCCCAGGAGTTCAAGACCAGCCTGAGCAACATAGTGAACCTCATCTCCAAAAACAGTAATAATATTTTTTTTTTTTTTAGAAAGAAAGAAAGAAATAGATTTTCCAGTCCCAGCTGAGCCTTCAGATAACTTCAGCCTCAGTTAGCATCTGACTACAGCTACATGAAAGACCCAGGTGAGCAATGCCCAGATAAATCCTTCTCAAATTTCTGACTGGCAAAAACTGTAGGAGAAAATAATTTTTTATTGTTCTAAGCCATTGAGTTTCTGGGTAATATGTTATACAGTCATATATAACTAATCCATAATCATTAATAAAGGATGATGTCTATCCAATAGGGGACTACTTAAATATATTATGGTAGATGCATACAATGAAATATTATGCAGTACTGACTTGGAAAGCTTTCCAGGATAATTTGTTAAGTGAAAAATGCAAAGTGCAGACTAGTATAGAGGACACAGCTGTCTTAGTTCATTTTGTGTTGCTATAACAAAATAGCACAGACTGGGTAGTTTATAAAGAAAATACATGTATCTGGCTCATAATTCTGGAGGCTGGGAAATCCAAGAGCATGCTGGTAGCATCTGGTGACAACCTTTGTGCCGCATCATCCCATGACAAGGTGGACGGGCAAGAGCAAGAGAGTAATCCGGGCCAGACTCACTTTGATAACAAGGCCCGTTCTTAAAATAACTGGCCCATTCCCACAATAATTACATTATTGTGACTCTGTCCTCTTGACCTAATCACCTCTTATCAGGCCTCACTTCCCAACACCGTTGCATTGGAGATTAAGTTTCCAGCACATGAACTTTGGGGGACACATTCAAACCATAGCAACTACTATTTGTAAAAAAAAATAAATAAATTAATCCCACCATTTGCGGAGGCTGCAGCAGGCCTCACTTGAGGCCAGGAGTTTTGAAACCAGCCTGGGAAACATAGCAAGACCTCCCTATAAAAAATACGAAAATGGCTGGGCACGGTGGCTCACGCCTGTAATCCCAGCACTTTGGGAGGCCGAGGCGGGTGGATCACGAGGTCAGGAGTTCGAGACCAGCCTGACCAACATGATGAAACCCCGTGTCTACTAAAAATACAAAAATTAGCCGGGTATGGGGGCGAGTGCCTATAATCCCAGTTATTGGGAGGATGAGGCAGGAGAATTGCTTGAACCCGGGAGGCAGAAATTGCAGTGAGCCGAGATTGTGCCACTGCACTCCAGCCTCGGCAACAGAGAGAGACTCTTTCTCAAAAAAAAAAAAAAAAAATGGTAACCGGATATTGTGGCATGTGCACCTGTAGTCACAGCTGCTGCGGAGGCTGAGGCAGGAGAATCACTGGAGCCCAGGAATTCAAGGTTGCAGTGAGCTATGATCACATCACTGTACTCCAGCCTGGGTAACATAGAGACACCTTGTTTCTACTAAAAATTAAATAAAAGCAGCCTGGCATAGTGGCATATGCCTGTAGTCCCAGCTACTTGGGAGGCTAAGGCAGGAGGATCACTGAAGCCCATGAGTTCAAATTGCTGTGAGCTAAAATTGTACCACTGCACTCCAGCCTGGGCAACAGAGCAAGACCCTGTCTCTGAATATGTATATTTTCTCTCTCTCTTTCTCTCGCTTTCTCTCTCTCTCTCTATATATATATATACATACACACACATATATATGCACACACACACATATATAGAGGTATATATGTCCATATGCATAGAGATAATACACATATATTTTGTAATGTGTATATATACAGAGTGTATATTATCTATACACAAATAAATAAGTTGAACATTTTAAAATAATGATTTGTCTTTAATGCAGAAGTTTTGCTTCTCTGCAGGAATTGGGTATAATAAAAAAAAAAAAAAGAAGTTTTGCTTCTACAAATTTATCCTTAGTAAATGATCATGGCAAAGATTTAGCTCAAAGGATGTTATCACAGCTTCATTTGATATCATGAAAAAGGTAAAACAACCCAATTATTCAACAATAGGAAATTTGTTGAATAGCTTATGCCATTCTCGTACTTGGCCACCATCTTAAATGGCTTCTTAGAAAATGATTTCATGCCCTGTGAAGTAATCATGATATACTAATTGATAAGAAGTTATGAAATGGCACCATGTAATCTTATCTTTCAAGTCAATTTAATTATATAAGTGTAGATTGAGATGTAGATTAAGACACAGAAAGAAATAAAGATAGATACAGAAACCAAAATGTTAACACTAATCTCTGGGAGGTCCAATTATTGTTGATTTTGTTTTCTTCTTTTTCACCTGTGTTTTTCAACAATAAATGTGCTACTTTGTAAAAACACAAAGGCCACAAATTTGTCTCCATTTTTTTAAAAGATTCATGGATGATTCTATAAATAGCAGCTCCAGATAGAGAATTTGAAACTTTGTTTTTGAAAACAGAGTTTTCAAGGTCAAAGATTACCAGACATGTATCATTGGTTAGAGAGAGCTGCCAGGTCTGTTCTAAGAAGTCTTACCCCGTTGGTGACAACACTGACTCCCCCCCAGTCCAGCTGGCCAGTGGTGGCCATGTCCAGAGGGGACATCCTGAATGCAGGCTGTGTCCCTTAACTACCTCTGATCAAAGCTAGTAGTAAGAGGAGGCGCCAGAATTTCCAGAGAGGGGTCTTGGGACCAGTATTCAATCCGCGCTTCCAAAGTCAGCCCACTGTTTGTACTTATATCATAGTTTAAAAAGTGGGCTGGGACCGGCCAGGTA